GCCTGTTTGTGTTCGCTTATGCATGAAACCCGCAGTGATGGCTCAAAGTAATTAGGACAGCAAAAAGGAATGCCTCTTTTTTGCCATCAAGGTTTGATGACCCCTACCTTTTCCTTTCTACATTTAAGTTATAACCATCACTCCGATTGCGCAAGGTCGGACACTCTTCTGGTTTTGTTGAAGAGCCTTTTTTTGTTTTGGGTCTTAATGCGAGAGAGAAAGTGTGAGCTAAAAGGCAAAGAAGTGGCTTTGATTAGAACCAAGACAAGAAAGGACTAGTTGCGTCGCCTCAACTCCCTCTCTATCCTTCTGTCTATTAATTAAGCACAAATAGTTTTTACTTATCTTCTTGCCGCTATTCCTTACATTCAAGGTATTCCCTATTCGGTTTATTTTTATGGCTTCTCTAATTTTACGTTTAGCCGCAGACATACCATAATCGGCAAAACGACAAGTTTGAGACCATTCAATCTCGTGTCCAGTTTCTGGTCTGTGCTCAGCCAGCTCAGATTTTTGAAAGCCACAACTTCTGCAAGCGCTTTTATGCCTAGCCACCCTTTGCCTAATGGAACGAAAAGTCTATTCAAAATAAAAGAGACCAAATGAAGACATTATTTTGTAGCAACCCAATCTGGATAATGGATCAACTTTCTCTCTAAAAGTGGGCGCAACGGAAGAAAGTGTCGTAGTTTCCCTTAAGACTTCCCCACTTCCTTTCTTGTTCACCTCTCCTCTTAGAGAGAATACACGAAAGTAAAGACAAAACATGAGAAAAGGTCTCATTATCTCTTCTTAAACCTAAATAGATATAGAATCGTTTGGCCAATTATCTTTCATATTAGACCTGCTACTTTTGTTCGAGTATGTGTTTGTGTGTCGAAATATACCAGCAATACCGGTTCCAAATCCGAGGGATCTAAAAAGGCTAAAATCAGGCTCTGGTCACCAAGCCCTGACCGAGACTGCCTATGTACGCAAACAAGTATGGTTGAGATAATAAGATGTAAGCTTGTAAGTCAAGTTACGAAACCACTTGTCCTAACTGCTCAGTCTAGGTTCATTAACATTTAACCCCTCAAGGAAAGGCATGACTGGGACTGCGTAAACTGGCGCGTCTAGTTTGGTTGATGAACCTGATCTGACATGTTGAACGAGTGTGAGTGAAGTTAGAAGCATCACTGAGAGGACAAGTTGAGTCACCTTCTTTTGGATGGCGGCTCAACAGCCTCTCTCTCTTTCAATCTATCAATCAAGCATGAGTAGTTCTTACACAACTTTTTAACAGCGTTCCTCCCATTTGACGTTAACCCTAATCTATCAATTTCACAAGCCTCCCTTATCTTCCTTTTAACAGCAGACGCACCACAATCAGCTAGCATACTAATTTGAAATCATTCTATTTCATGTTTGGTCTCTGGAATGTGTTCGGTCACTTATGACCACTGGACCCAGCTTTACAAGCATTTTTGTTTTTCCCCAATCTTTGTCGAATAGGCCGGCATATCTCAATAACATAAGGTCCACAACAAGAGCATACAATCTTGCAACAGCCGGATATCTATAACCGGTTATATTTCTCTCTAAAAGATGGCATAATCGAAGAAAGACTAGGGCTATAGGATACCATTAAGGCAGTGATTCCCAAACCTTTTCTAGTCGCGGCGCCCTTTTTCACTTAAAATTTTTCCATGACGCCCTACCCTAAGTATGACTATTCGAAAGTAAGAGATAAAAATAAATGAAACTCGTGTATCTTCATTATTTTTTTACTTTATTGACATTAAATTAATATTTAATAATTAATGTGATGAATGAGACTGCAAATTGTTGCACATTTTCTCAAATTGAAGCTTTTACAATATTTCGCGGCGCCGTGGCGCACAGTTTGGGAATCACTGCCTTAAGGTATGCTTAAGGGATGGCGAAATGGAGAAGTGGAAAATGAATTCACTAATACCTGTAGTTGTGTGCGGACATAAGAAGGCAAACTGATAGTCCCAAATAATCAGAGTAGCGCAATCGTCCTTTGGTGAGATCAATCTACTAATCTCTTTATCATACAATTTTACTCAAGATAGAAATCACATCACAAGACTCCTTGAGAACTAGTTGCTCATTTAGCATTTATTGTTTGATTGTCGATGACGTAACTGACATTACTTAAATTTTTAATGAGTAGGTTTTTGTCCAATCAGTAATTATTGAAAAGAACTTATTCCTCCTAGGTTTGCATATGGTGATCTGGGGGTGATGGTGGCGTTTTCCTCACAAGCATGGGAACTCTTATTTATCGGTGGTCTCGACAATCGACTTCTACTAATTTCTATGATAATATAAGTAGTTCTAATAAGTCATCCGACAGAAAGCAATCAAAGTTATGTGTCGACTACACAGTAAGCAACAAATGAAGGTTGCTTGTTGGTGTACTGCTGAAAAGAGGCCACCTGAGATGTGATTTGATTCGGTAAACTTTCTCTAATGCCCTACTCAACCAAATCAGAGAAGAAATCAGTATCAGAGATAGCTAGTACAAAGCAAAAGGATTCAAGGAAGGTAGAATTGGCTATAAATTTGCTATAACTCAAGTAATCATAGAGAAAACAGGGAAATGGCAAGTTCAGCAAAAAAACTACTATTAACCAGAAGAAAAGGGATAGCATAGAAGAAGCAGGTGAGAAGACTATTGGGGTGAGTGTAGTCAACTCTGACGGATAGTAAAAAATGTCATAGGAATTTGTAAATAGAGACCAGTTTGACTAAAGGTTTGTTCAGGATGTGATGTAGACCAGAGACATGGGTCCTCAGTTCGCTCAGGGCACAAAAGCCGGATCATAAATACAGTCCGTGAAGACGATGAGAGTAATCAAGAACACATTGCGAACTGAAATAATGAGAAGCACCAGGATAAATAACGCCTATACCAAAACTTCTACGGTGGCCGGAATCGAGTGACCTTATTTGACTGTTGAGATAAGAAGCGGAGATTTGAGGGCACAAAAATGATTTGTAAAGAGATTGAATTAAGTGGTTTGCGATTTCGTGAGCTAAACTTTATCAAAGTGAAAATTGATAAGTTATGGATTGTGCTCCGCACTGGCTATACCGATAATGATGCCGGCAAAATGACTGTGAATGTACCAAGTCAACTTTCTGATGCTGAAAATCATTATAAATGACAGAGGACTCAGGACTATGTACGTTCCACAATGACACCCTCTTGTCCCGACCAAGTTGCTCCTTGGCGTTGTCTCTTCCTGTCGTTAAATAGTTGTCTTTGGCTAAAGCTATTCTTTTTGCTGTCCTCGTTGAATCTCCAAGTCTGCTCAGGCAGTACACAAAATTATCGCTGACTTGCCTTTTCCAATCTTCTGTTGAACAAGTTTCTTTTAAAGATAATGTCCACATCCGCCCTGATCTTTCGTTTCCTGGTGTTTTACCCATACGAGGCCAGTCTTTCCGTTGCACTCCAGTCAATAGTGTAGCCGGTAATGGCGATGTGCTCATCTATCATCAATCTTTCCGTATCCATTTTTCTGTATAGTCACTGACGTTGTTTGATCCTTGTGGTGATTGTATTTTCCATCTCTCTGATGCATTTTTCGCATTTAAGTATTATTTCGAGACTATCAGTAAATCAGTAATATGAGATGTATTCACCCGATTTCGTTTAAGGTGATTAAAGATTGGTAGAAGAATTTTCCCACAGTGATATGGCAATGCGGCCGAGTGGTTATGTGTCAAGCTCCCATTCTGCCCTTTCACAGTTTGACTCCTGCTGGGGGTGTTGATATGACCGATGCGAGGTCAAAACTGCAGTCCACTTCAGCTGAGTTGAGAACAACATTTTGGAAGGCAAAGCTATGTGAGATTCAATGGAAACGTCAGCTTTACTCATACCTTTGTGAAAAAATTCTTCTACCAGTCCTTCATCACCGTAAACGAAATTGGCTGAATACATCTCATATCTCTGATTTATTTTTGTATACATTCCTTACCCTTTATGTTCTAGACTCTGGAGCACTCCATTTTGTTAACTTATTTATGTTATGTGGGCAGGATAGTGAAGAGGTTTGTCTTTTTTTTCAGGATTCTAAAAGTGTTCCATTTCCATAGTATAGGCCGCAGCTTCCGAGACAATTCACAGGAGGGTAGATATATACGTCTTCTTTCCTCTGTTCCTCTTGATTTCCTTTCATAATCTCAGTCCTTCCATCTGTTAATCACCATCCGTATGTTGCATATGTTGCTTCCTCGGGAAATCCGTTTCAGAGAAACATCTTAGTTAGTTTTTACAGTTCCTCTTCCCAGAATTCACAATTACTAAGTCATAGGCTTCCTATGGCCATACTCCAGAGCAATCAATCTTCACTCCATATGTACTTTTAGACTGCTTTTTGATAATTATTCCACCATGCGATTTTTTTCTGAAAAGTCGTTTCTTGAGAGTCTCCTCGGAGCAAATGACCTCCACATCCAGGATTGGTAAGTGTTCGTTCTCTTCCACATCCATATTAAATTTGACTATTTAAACCATTTAGTTTATGAAGATCATAAAATCGCCTAATTCTTCTGTTCCATGCGACAAGATCGCGAAGTAGCCCTCCAAATATCGCATAATTACTGTTGGCAGCTGAGGTTACGTTTTGGAAATCTTCTCCAACTTGTCCATATAGACATTAGCCAGCATAAGTGATAGTGGTGAGTCCTTAGGCAGACCGAATATTTTAAATTGAACGTGAAATAGGTGGTTGTTATGGTTAGTTTGACTAATCGGGTAAGATGTTCTTTTCGGATTCGCTTCGTCTCCAGGATGCCATCTTCTCTTTCCAAGATTCCATAAATGTCGTTAATGCCTTTTCTCCTGAGATGTTGCTGTAAATGAAATGTAGTTTATTTGATCACAATCTATAAATAGCTTCCACTACCCTATTAATCATCTCACTGCTTTTCAATCATTAAGAGTTAGCAAATCATACTAGAAGGCATAAATAATGGTATAAATATGCGTGAAGGTGCATTATTAGCTGCGCCGATAGCAACAACTTTACTAATATACGAAATACGATCAATTTAGATGATACTTTTCAATTAAGTAATAAGCGAATTTTAAGTTTCACGGCTATTAGTATGGTAAATGACTTATATGTATTGGGTTAAGAGCCCAAGATATGGATTCGAATCTTAAGCAGGCATGAGCCAATGGCTTTTGCTAACAAGCATATTCGACAAGCGAGCATCAAGTCATTCTCTTCCCTTTTATAGAAGACCTATTTATTCATTATCATGTCCAAACAACAATTTTTTCTATACTTTCAGAAAAGCACGAACATTCTAGCTTGAATACTCTAACAAACAGAATACCGGCAAAGTTCTCAAACCAAATTCAAGTACACCTCAACGCCCATCCGCTTACCTCCTCGCCTCATCCAGCCAGTAGCCAGCGGAGGCTGCGGGAAAATAACTCGGATGTGGTCTCCTCGACCTTTTTGGATAACTCGCCAAAATCATCAAACCCAGTCGTCCCACACAAATCCTCTTTGCCTTTCCACTCGCGACAGCCAGCCCCACCTAATTCCAATTATTTGCTCGGCTCCAAGCCGGATAGTAGGCCGGACCAGACCAGACATTTGGGCGAGCCAAACAAAAGGTCAGAATGCAGGGAAACTGTGCTTCGAAGTTGCTCAATCAAGCGTCAGTTCAAAGGGTTGGAGCGCGACTCAAGCACATCTTCCACGGATACGGTCATATGGCGTCCAGGTAATACTGTCATAGTTTGCTCATTGTGTAAAGCTTGTATAGAAACGGTATCAACGAGACTTATACAAATAATGATTAGACTAAATTCAAAAACAGAACGATTTCAAGATATGCAAGAGTAAAATATTATTTTTTTATGGAGTAACCGGGTTAAGGTCAATCCTTTGAGATAACCTTGTTCTCAGCCGTTTGGTTTTAATACGACGTTCAGATCATTTGCAGTCCACGAGATATCCTTCCTTGGTTAGGGAGAAAACCGACTGAACTTTCGTACACCATTACAAAAGCTTCAAGTTGACAATAAGTTGTGAGAATATATCATACATGTTGTTTAGAGCCGGATAGTTAACATGACTTAGAGCCAACATGAAGCTCTGACGACGTCCGTCAACTGGCATGACGGATGAAAACTCAGACTGGTTTCACCCGAAACAAGGAAGGATGTCTCGTGGACTGCCTCAATCTGAACGTCCTATCAGAGACAAACGGCGGCAGAAAAATGGGAAACAACCGTCGTATTCCAGAGAGATCCACCCATGAATCATTATGCACTTTCATACAGAATAAAGATCGCTCAAACAATAAATTTACATAATCTGTTGAGTCATTCATTTCATATGAAAGTGCATGAATAAGAGACCCGTAGATACTGACATGACTTTCATTTCGTTTGAGAAGGCAGGTGGAAGAGATTAGTAGATTGGCCTCACCGGATACCGAAGTAGAGTTTACTTGGGAGTTTGTCTGTCGGAATGCTCAAAGAAGAGCTCGATAACTCCGTGATGAGCTTTCGACCGTCATGTGACGGAAATCCTCATTCACGAACAATCACCAAAATTTCGTCGCCTTATATACTCAATGCATACACCCAAGGAAGTCTTCATTACACTCTTTGCCGTGCTGCCAGATAGCAAAGTAATAATCTATATATCTGGCTAATAGTCTCAGAACTAGGAGTGACTTTTGAAAAAACCGGACTTCCAATCGAGTCATGTAGTAATTAGCTAAAACTGGAAAAAAACACGTTCCCGTAGTTAACCCTTCGGTTTGCTCGCACAATTTACCATAAAAGATAAAATATATACTATTAATTATTTAGTTCGTCAATCTCATGCTTTACTCCTTGCTAGTAAGTTTTGAGGTGGTATTTATGTACACGAATATACCGGTAGGAGGGAACATACAGACATTAGGATTAACCTTAGATCTACATACACCCAGAGATAATATCAGGAAATAGGATAGGCAAGGAGTCAATCATGAGATTGACCAACTTAGTAATGAATAGTGTATATTTTATCAACTTTGATTCCGGTGAAAATAAGCTAAGCTAAAATGTGAGATGAAAGCTTAGCACCTTTTTCACTGGAATCGAAGTTGATTACCTCAGAAACAGCGTCAACAAGAATATTCCAGTCGAGTCAATCGACTCGAGGATTCTGTCGTCGTCTTCTGGTGGGATCCGCCTTCGAATCACTTCACCAAACACTTTCACTCGAAATGGAAGTAAGCTCAACAAGGGAAAATGAAGATA